GACGTTTAGGAGTAGTATCGAGGGTGGTCTGACCTGAGGGAGGTGGGCGATGCAAAAACCGTCACACCATATTTGGGGAAGCTGAATGCATTGTGAAAGGCTTGCTAGAAGTCGTGGGGAGGGAGGATTGGAGGGTAACTAGGTTCAATTGGAGGAAGAAGACCAAAAGGTCCAATTCTGCAGACCGATAGCCTCTTTACCGCTACAAGGAGCCCCCATAAAGAGGCTGTGTAGTTGGAATTTGTTTTATAGAGTGGGCCCCCGCCTAACATTGGCATCACATAACGTTAAATCCGTGTAGCGATACATTTTATCGCTAAAATTTGGCCTCGCATAGTGCTAAAAAACTCGCTCAACACGATTCGTCCGAGACGCGTCTACGTGCAGCCTGAGCCACCCTTACTTGTTCCGCTAGTGGCATTGTTTACAAGCCAGCTTCCGCGGTAACATCCAAGCATACAATCGGAACATTTCATATTATTACAGCCTTTTTAGTGATTGCACCTGCAAAATAAGTGACCATGGGCCCCAAGAAAGCTTCTAGTGCCAACCCTACAGGAATAAGGGTGAGAATTACTATGGAGATGAAGAAAGAGATCATTGCTAAGTATGAAAGTGGAGTGCGTGTCTCCGAGCTGGCCAGGTTGTATAGTAAACCCCAATCAACCATCGCTACTATTGTGTCCAAGAAAACGGCAATCAAGGAAGCTGTTCTTGCCAAAGGTGCAACTTTGTTTTCGAAACAGAGATCGCAAGTGATAGAAGATGTTGAGAGACCGTTATTGGTGTGGATAAACGAAAAACAGATAGCAGGAGATAGCATCTCTCAAGCGATCATAAGTGAAAAGGCTAGGAAGTTGCATGAGGATTTAATTAGAAAAATGCCTGCAACTAGTGATGATGTGAGTGAATTTAAGGCCAGCAAAGGTTGGTTTGAGAGATTTAAGAAGCATAGTGGCATACATAGTGTGATAAGGCATGGTGAGGCTGCCAGTTCAGACCACAAAGCAGCTGAAAAATATGTGCAAGAATTCAAGGAGTACATAGACAGTGAAGGACTGAAACCTGAACAAGTGTTTAATTGTGACGAAACAGGCCTGTTTTGGAAGAAAATGTCAAGCAGGACCTATATTACTGAGGAGGAAAAGGCACTCCCAGGACATAAGCCTATGAAAGACAGGCTTACTCTGTTAATGTGTGTCAATGCTAGTGGTGATTGCAAAGTGAAGCCTTTATTAGTGTATCACTCTGAAACTCCCAGAGCGTTCAGGCAAAAGAATATCCTCAAGGCTAATTTGTGTGTGCTGTGGAGGGCAAACAGTAAGGCATGGGTCACTAGGGACTGTTTCTATGACTGATTACACCAAGCATTTGCCCCCAATGTGAAAAATTACCCAACTGAAAAGAAATTAGACCTTAAGTGCCTCCTGGTGTTAGACAATGCCCCTGGTCATCCTACAGACTTGGCAGAGCGACTTTCTGGGGACATGAGCTTCATTAAAGTCAAGTTTTTGCCTCCTAATACCACTCCTCTCCTGCAGCCCATGGACCAGCAGGTTATTGCAAACTTCAAAAAACTGTACACAAAAGCTGTTTGAAAGGTGCTTTGTAGTGATCTCAGAAACTCAATTGACTCTAAGAGAGTTTTGGAGAGATCACTTTAATATCCTCAATTATGTAAACCTTATAGGTAAGGCTTGGGAGGGAGTGACTAAGAGGACCTTGAACTCTGCTTGGAAGAAACTGTGGCCAGAATGTGTAGACCAAAGGGATTTTGAAGGATTTGAGGCTAACCCTGAGAGGCGTATGCCAGTTGAGGAATCAATTGTGGCATTGGGGAAGTCCTTGGGGTTGGAGGTTAGTGGGGAGGATGTGGAAGAGTTGGTGGAGGAGGACAATGAAGAACTAACCACTGATGAGTTGCTAGATCATCTTCAACAGCAAGAGGGCAGACCTGAGGAAACTGCTTCAGAGGAGGGGAGAGAGAAATTGAAGAAGTTGCCTACTTCAAAGATTAAGGAAATCTGTGCAATGTGGCTTAAAGTGCAAACCTTTATGGATGAAAATCACCCTCAGACAGCTGTTGCAAGCCGTGTTGGCAACCTGTACACTGACAGTGTTGTGAACCACTTTAGGAAAGTCATAAAGGAACGAGAGGTACAGACCTCTATGGACAGATATGCTGTGCGACATAAGTCCAGTGACTCTGAAGCTGGTCCTAGTGGCATTAAAAGAAGAAGGGAAGTAACCCCGGAAAAGGACTTGATACCTCAAGTCCTAATGGAAGGGGATTCCCCTTCTAAACACTAAGACCATCAACACTCTCCCCTCCTCCCATCCCATCAATCATCACCAGATCTTCAATAAAGGTAAGTGTCATGTAACTGTGCATGTCTTCTTCAGTTTGTGTGTATTAAAATTAATATTTCATGTGGTAAATTTTTTTTTTTTTCATACTTTTGGGTGTCAGGAACAGATTAATTTGATTTCCATTATTTCTTGTGGGGAAAATTAATTCGCATAACGATAATTTCGCCTAACATTGAGCTCTCAGGAACGGATTAATAGCGTTATGCGAGGGTCCACTGTACTCCAATACAGTTTTGATTTCCTCAAGTTTTCCCTAGCAAAGCAATTGAAATTTGTCTTCATTGAACTTCATATTGTTTTCTGTAGCCCATTTAAAGATTTGGTTGATGTCTGCTTGGAGACTTGCAAATTCAGGTGTACCTTTGAAGAGTTTTGAGAGTTTATCTACTCTCTGAGCCCAGCCATGGGCCAGGCTCGTCATCTGCAAAGGAAGACAGAAGAGAAAGAACCAAAGGATTGGCAGAAAGCATGCATTGTTCCTTTGTATAAGGTAAATTGAAACGAGAGTATGTAAGAATTATAGAGGATAAACCTACTGAATATACGAGGTAAAGTTAATGACAGGACATTACTGAAAGGGGTTAGTGGTAAAACAGCAAATTGCAGAGGAGGAGGGAGGATTTAGGAAGGGTAGGGCATTTGTAGACCAAGTGTTCACATTGAAGCATATAAGTTAGCAGAACTCAGACAAGGGTAAAAAGCTGTTTGTTGAATTTATAGATTTAGAAAAATTATATAATATGGTGGATAGAGAAACCATGTGACAGATGTTGCAAATGTATGGAAAAGGTGGTTAGTTACTAAAAGCAGTTACTAAGTAAGAGGGACCATTTCCCAGTGAAAGTAGGACCTAGACGGATTTGTGATGTCATCATAGTTGTTTAGCATTTATATATGGAGTTGTAAAAGAAGTGAATGCTAGTGTTGGATAAAGGTGTGGGATTAAAAGATGTTGGATCTGATATAAAATACGAGTTTATTGCAGCTGTTCTTTGGGAGGGTATATTAAAGGAAATTAAAAGTGAACTGAAAAGAGGCCAAGATGATAAGGATAACAAGAAGTCTAGGCAATGACTGACTGAATACCTGACTGGAAGGAGGGAGTATGTAGGAAGTGAATTTATTTAAACATTTGGGAGTGGACATGCCAGCAGATGGGTCTGTAAAATGTGAGGTGAACTACAGAATCAATTAGAATGAAAAAGATAGGTGGTGTGTTGAGGCATCAATGGAAGGAGAGAAGTTAATTTATGGAAACAGAGAAGGTACTAACATAGTATAGTGATACTAACAATTTTATATGGATGTTTTGAACACTGCAGCAAGGATGCTAGATACGGTGTTACATGCAGAGTAGATAGGAGGTGAATGGAGTTGGTTTTTAAAAGTCATGCTATTGGAATGTGAGCAAGATAACTGTTTTGAGGGGATTCAGGAAAACCAGTTAGTTGGACATTCAGTCCTGGAAATGGGAAGGGCAATTCCTGCACTCCAAAGAAGGGGTGGGGATGTTGCAGTCAGAGGGTAATTTTGTATGTGATATCAACACACTTTTGGCATGACACCTGCTAAATGAAAAATGGTGAATGTGATTTTCTTCTTGGGGTCAACCTACCTTGGCAGGAGACAACCAATGAGTTAAAAAAAAAAAGAAGGCAGAATTAAGTCTTCATAATCTAACATGCATGCACACACATGAACAGACAAAGTAGAAAAGGAAGCACAATGAATAATGAAGACACATAAAAGTAAAAAAGTATAAATCATCAAATAGCAATATCAATGTGAATAGATAATTATAATTGTCAATGGTGTTAGCCAGAAAATTATCAATGGTGGTACAGTGAATATAACAGAGAATTAACAATGGTCGCACAATATGATAGTCATTTATAGTAGAACAGTATACATAATTAGGGAATCAATGGTAGTAGTGAATATAAACTGATAAGCATAAATTGTGGCACAGCCAAAGAATTATCAATGGGGTAGTGTTCCTTCACATGGAAGTGCCTTGAGACTGGTGAATGGCTACTGACCCAAGGAATTGGAACTACCCTCCCCTTTCTCAGATCAAACCTGATTACCTCCCATTACCCATGTGCTATATGTCCCTTATGGGTTTATCACTTCCCCATGAATATAATAATAATATCTGTGTGAATATAGGGAAAAAAATTATCAACTGGTGAATGAGCATCTATTACAATGTGGCCAAAGCAGGTTTAGTCCAAGTGGTTTACTTACCTTATGCAAGGAAAACTGTTTCAGTTTATTATAAGAGCAAAATAAATTATAGTAGTGTAATAATAATAGGTTATGTCATGGTAAAAACTTTCTTTTACTCAAAAAGTTATTTATTACATCAATATGTTTCCTTACACTGGTACAAAAGGTAATGCTTCAGGTAAGAATTGCCAAAGTCTTCAGGAGAAAAAGAACAAGTCAGGTAATGGCAGACCACATCGTCTTCCAGCTACCTTGTTCTTTTTACTAACGTTACTTGGTCCTTTCTATTTGGTTAATACAATCACTTCCATTATGTACAAATTATGTAAATCAAGATTTGCACAAGTATGTACAATGAATGAATGCTATTGAGGAAATCTTTGGTCAATCAAGAGATACAGTGTAACACTTATGGAAGGACCATTTATTATTTAACATACACATATCTACAAGTTAAAAGTACTTAAAGATTCTCATGGAGAAACGAATTACACACTACTTGAGGTAAATTACTGAAAACAGAACGATGAACACATAATGATCAAAAATTATCTAGAAAATTTATCCAAAGGTGTTTCTTGGAGAGATAACCTGTATCTTTACACATTTCTGTGGCACACAACTGTTTTGTTTCCCTGTACTGTATATTAATGTGCAACTTATGACTTGATACACCATGATCACTGTATCTTCCTCTGTTCCATCATCAATCCTTCACCTCATGAGTGATTTTTAATGTACATCTTGACACTCGAGGTAGTCTCAATCGAACTTGTAACTTACAGGAACTGACACTTCAACAGCCAGCTTCCTAATTTTTACAAACCACAGCTAGGCAATTGTCTTTCTGGCTATGACTACTAAAGTTTATTACAAAAAGATTAGCTAACCTATATTTTATCATAAAAAATTAAAAAAAGAATGGAGAAATCAATCACTGTACTTATTTACATTACACAAATACTTCCCTGTTATAATTTGAAAAAGGAAGAAAACCAAAACTAGGCACTTACTGAACCCAAGAAAATCTTATTCTAAACCAGGTACCAAAAGAGCCCCTCCTTCCATGGCATAACCCCTTTCCCTTTTACAATAAACAAATTGTTCATGTAACCCTATGATTTTACCTGTGCTCAATAAAAATGAATTTCAAGTCTAAGATTAGTGTTGCATGTTAAGTGATGATAAAAACTACAATAAACAACAACATATGCTCTTTTAAAGGAATTTACAGTTCGAAAAAGTTAGAACATGGGATAATTTTTTAAACTTGTTACACATGTCATACCATTATTATATTCATGGAAAGTGCTAATTTAGTTTGAGAATAATATTGTTTTAAAAAATATTCACATTTTGTAAAATCCTTTTTTCAATAAAAACATGAAGGGATATGAATAAACTCAAAACCATTTACACAGTATTTGTCTCTACCTTGATAACCAAGATATGTAAATATTTTCACAATAATTCACCATTTTTTATTTGCCATGTAGCAAATTGGCTTACAATGATGACACTGTAAGGTTACACAGTCTTGGGTCTTAATAATGAAAGCAGTAATTATGAGGAACAGATAAAATCAAGAATGTCATGAAAAATCAGTTTATTAAATCTCGCCAAGATATGCAAAATGCAAACTTGGTTTAACTATTCAGAATGACACAATCAGTGGGAATCTGGGGGCTGTGGTAGTGGTGGTGATGAGGTGAGCAATGGTGTGATGTCTGTGAGATGAGACTGATATAATGAGGATGGAGATGGGAGAGTTAATATTATGTTGAGTGATATGAGAAACATGAAGAGCAAAGGAAAAAATAGATATTATAAACAAATGTTTATGACATGAGTATGAGGAAATATGGAGGATGCAAGGTAATGCTCTACATATAAAAGAAAAAGATGACAAAATAATTATCTGATGATAAAATGATATGGTAATAGAAGAATAAATAGTAAAAGCAAAAAATAGGTGTGTGAATGTTGCAAGAGCAAATGATGTGTGAGGTGATTATTTTGGCTGAGTTGATAGTGTTACTTACTCGTGGGCGGGTTATGGTTATGTGGTGACATTAGACCCGAGAGGAAGTGTGGGGCAGGAAGGTTTCCTTGGGGAAGGAAGTTCTTGTACATGCCTAGGCTTGCTAAAGCCTCTGGTGTGAGACCTGATAAACTTGAAAGCCCTAATGAACCAAGTTGTAGTTGGGCTGCTGCCATGTGTTGAGCTGCGGTTGATCCCCCACTATTGCTACTACTACTAGTTGTGGGAATTATACTGTGAGGCAACATACTATAGTAAGCAGCAAGGGCAGTGGGGTCCATGTAGGGAAATATTGAAAGAGGAGCACCCCCAGCTCCAGAGTTTGGTTTAACTCCAGTAGCAAGCATGGGTGACAGGTACGGCAGTAGTGCGGCAGGGTTTAACTGAAGGCCTGCTAAACCTGGTGGCAAGCCCTGTGCTGCAGCAGCTGCTAGAGCTGCTGCAGAAGCTGCACTTGCTACTCCAGGGAGTTTACTGGGTGAAAGTTTAGAAGGGAGATCCGAGGATTTTATACTGACATGAGGCGGAGGAATCCTGCCCATATTGCAGTTCTTACTAGTACTTGGTTTAGAAACTGACGACACTGTTATATCACGCCTGGTAGATAAGTCTAACAGTTCTATTTCTGGTCTTTCAGATTTTGAAGATCTACCATTTTTATTTCCTGATGCACGGCTAAGATCCAGAATTTCTATTTCTGGACTAGAACTTTTACTGTCTTTACTCATGTCCTTAACATCTGTTGTAGGTTTACCATACATGTGTTTGGATTGGGAATATACAGACTGTGACTGGAAGACCCTCGGAGGCTCAGGTCTGATAGGATCCCGCGGAGATTTCATTATATGATGTTGATGTGCTATAGGTGCTGGCGCTGGAAAGATGCTGGTTTGGGGTAAGAGCTGTGCCAATGCACTGATCGTTGTTTTGTTACTCTGGTGTGCTGGAAGGAGTAACTTGGCACTTGGGTCTAGGAGGTTCATCTGTCTTAATACATCTGCAGAAACGAGTCCAGGGACTGCAGGTAAAGTTGTTTTACTTACAGGAGTTTCTTGAATTACTGAGGGCCGACCATTATCTTTTTCTCTTGAACTAGCACCATTAATTCTTGCTCCTTCTGTTTTTAATCTTTTTGTGGCAGGTTCTTGTAATGGTTTTTCATATCTGCCAAAGAGTAGATTTCTGTGTATTGGTTGAAATACCAATAAAAGAATTAATTGTGTGTTATATAAATTGTCCTTATAATTTAACATATAACAAAATATTTCACATACAACATACAATTTAACAACAGATATCTCATATATATCGAGTATATAAAGTATATTAAAAAAGTAGACAGTTAAGGCAGACAATTGTTACATAACTGGTTTAAGGATAGATATACTGTATATATTGAAAAAAGTAACATGCATTTTCTAAATTCTTAGAATGTTGCATTATAACAAACAAACAAACAAAAAAGTCTCATTATCAATCTTAGAGTATTCTTTTTCCAGATGGAATTGAATTAGTGCATAATACATAATTGTGAAGTGTAAAAAACTACTTTCTGTGTAAGCTTGATGAATTAAGAACACAGCTTCTAGTTATTGTGTGACTATTAGACTTGTTACCATGTGAAGTATGTGTGGGACTGTCTGTAGATGATGACTGATGGAATACTTTGTAAGACTGAGGGAAGATATACCCCCTAACTTGGCTCTTGGAGTAGGCAGAAACAAACTTTGGGAATTGCTTCCATTTTGAATTTTGTAAGAGACTAAACCAAACAAATCTATTTAACCTCTAAGGTGTCCAAAGTCTGCCAGTATATCATAATGATCAGAATCCATGATGTACTAGTAAACACATAATTCATAGTGTCCTCAAATTTGCTGCAAACAAGCAAATTTTGGTCTGGACATAAGAGAATGAGTCAATCAAATGGTTGTGTGCAGTACATACACACACACAAAAATAATCTGCCCATGCATTTGGGTTGCAATAATGACTATGGGTCATTTTCTACGGTAGGTCTTATGGCTTTATTGACTGCTTCTTGGTTCCAACAGCAAGACCAGAAGACATATGGGCTAATGAAATGACAAGATTTGAATTGGAACAAGAGACCTGAAACAGGCATCAAAGTGGTGAGAAATGGTCAATTTAAGGCAATTTTCCTGGGGAAGAGTGGGAAGTCCTGCCTACTTTTCCTAGGGAAGAGTGGGAAGTCCTGCCTACTTTTCCTAGGGAAGAGTGGGAAGTCCTGCCTACTTTTCCTAGGGAAGAGTGGGAAGTCCTGGCTACTTTTCCTAGGGAAGAGTGGGAAGTCCTGCCTACTTTTCCTAGGGAAGAGTGGGAAGTCCTGCCTACTTTTCCTAGGGAAGAGTGGGAAGTCCTGCCTACTTTTCCTGGGGAAGAGTGGGAAGTCCTGCCTACTTTTCCTAGGGAAGAGTGGGAAGTCCTGCCTACTTTTCCTGGGGAAGAGTGGGAAGTCCTGCCTACTTTTCCTAGGGAAGAGTGGGAAGTCCTGCCTACTTTTCCTGGGGAAGAGTGGGAAGTCCTGCCTACTTTTCCTAGGGAAGAGTGGAAGTCCTGCCTACTTTTCCTAGGGAAGAGTGGGAAGTCCTGCCTACTTTTCCTAGGGAAGAGTGGGAAGTCCTGCCTACTTTTCCTAGGGAAGAGTGGGAAGTCCTGCCTACTTTTCCTGGGGAAGAGTGGGAAGTCCTGCCTACTTTTCCTGGGGAAGAGTGGGAAGTCCTGCCGACTTTTCCTGGGGAAGAGTGGGAAGTCCTGCCGACTTTTCCTGGGGAAGAGTGGGAAGTCCTGCCGACTTTTCCTGGGGAAGAGTGGGAAGTCCTGCCTACTTTTCCTGGGGAAGAGTGGGAAGTCCTGCCTACTTTTCCTGGGGAAGAGTGGGAAGTCCTGCCGACTTTTCCTGGGGAAGAGTGGGAAGTCCTGCCGACTTTTCCTGGGGAAGAGTGGGAAGTCCTGCCGACTTTTCCTGGGGAAGAGTGGGTGCCTCCCTTGGTCTGTGTTATGAGGTTTCACTTTGTCAGCTTCAATTACTGGGATGGTCTAAACCATGATCAAGCATTCTTGGTTACAGTTTATTAGCCTCCCCTCCCACCCCCCCCCCCCAAAAAAAATGGGGAAAACATCATATTCTTTTGTGACAGAAGGAATACTTGTGAAATAGCTTGGAAATCAGTCAATTTGAACACTGTAATATGTTGAAAATAAACCTCAAAGTGAGCTAAACCATTGTTGCTTAACTGCTGAAGATAGTAAGGAGACAGAAAAACATGCACCAGTAGGGAATGCAGCCATGAAAAAACCAAGGCAAACAGAAATCAAACCTAAGCAAATTCTATGCCTTAGGTATCTGCAGGCATGGAAAAACGGATGGGACATGCAACTCTGACCACCCCATAAAATGCTGTGTCCATATGGCAAGAGGAGAATGCAACCTTTCTTCCTGCAAGTTTTTCCACCCTGAAATGTGTCACTCTTCAGTTCAGGAAAGACAATGCTATAACTTATATTGTCAGGCACACCACCTAAAGGGGACAAGAAGATACAGAACATCCAGATCATGGGAAAACCTGGGTAGCCACAACCACTCCAGAGAGAGAGGTTTTTAACGTCAGGAAGGAAAAAAAGTTGGCAGAAAATGACAGAAATCATACACCAGCTCAGATCACTTCTGGAGCAGAATCACAGTCAGTGGCCTCCAATCCAAAACGACAGATATTAGTGCCAGTAAAAAAAAAAAATCCCCCATATACCACTAATACAACATTCATCTTTGCAAATAGACAGGTTCTAAAGCCAGCAACAAACAATAAAATGCCTTTCATCCATGGACTGCTTACAGAGTCAAATGCAAAATAGTTTAGTGGAGAAAACGATTTCAAGGAAACCATTTTAATCGACAGACTACTGTATATATATATATCCATGGGGAAGTTTAACAGAATTCTTCCTCCGTAAGCTATGCGGCCCTATGCTGCATTTCCTACAAGAGTGATGGACTGAACACATCGATTCCAGATTGAGGGACTGATTACCTCAAACTTCTCCTCTCCTTACCCATTTCTACTTTGTATTGGACTGATGAAGCCACTGTGTGGCAAAATGTTTCTTCAATAAAGATTCCCATGTGTTGCACAAGTGTCTCAATTCTTCATACCATTTTTTACAATAATTACGCAGTCTGCATAATAGTAAATCTTCTATTTTTTTGTGTGAATAAAAACTCAATACGGAAAACCCTCAAGGAAGGTTCCTTGATGTTGGTGAGGGGTTTTTGATCAAGTGTGAAAGGGTTAAAATTTCCGGGGGTCGGTGCTGCTGTCTGGTGGCGCTACTTAGAGCAGAAGTCATTCCAATTTGTTTTTCTCTCCATTTATTGCTAAAACCTGCTCACTTTTAGCCCTAGCCATGGTTCCAATGAAAGGAAGTGCTTCTCGTTGTGTAAAGCGCAAACACCGTACATTGTCCATAACAGATAAGGTTGAACTTCTGAAAAAACTTGACAGTGGTGTGTCTGTGAGTAACTTGTGCGAGTTATACAACATTGGCTCTTTAACAGTTCATGACATAAAGAAACAGAAAACAAAATTACTGAGTTTCTTTGCTAACAGTACTTCAAAGAAACAGATGTGTAAAAGAAAAACAATGAGGGAAGGAAAAAGTTCAGAACTAGATCAGGTTTTGATGAAGTGGTTTAGGCTACGTGTAAGTGAAGGTGTTCAGCTGTCTGGAGCTCTGGTGAAGGAACAAGCCAATATTTTTCATGAAGAACTAGGATTAAATTATGAATGTGATTACAGTGAAGGTTGGCTACAGCGTTTCAAGGATCGACATGGCTTAAAGTTTCATGCAGTGTGTGGTGAAAAACGTTCAGCAGACACAAAGGCAGCTGCTAAATTTGTTGATGAGTTCGCCAAGTTAGTTTCAGATGAAAAATTAAGTCCTGAGCAGGTCTACAATGCAGATGAGACAGCATTGTACTGGAAATGTACATCAAGAAGAACTCTGACAACTGAGGATGCAGAATCACTAACAGGATATAAAGCATCGAAAGATCATGTCACTGTATTGGCATGCTCTAATGCCGCAGGAATGCACAGATGCAAGTTACTGGTCATCGGTAAAAGTTTACGTCCCAGGGCTTTCAAAGGCAGGGTAAATCACAGTTTCCTGTGATTTACCCTGCCAACAAAAAAGGATGAATAGATGGGGTTGTAAGAGAAGTAAATGCGAGGGTCTTGGCAAGAGGCGTGGAGTTAAAAGATAAAGAATCACACACAAAGTGGGAGTTGCCACAGCTGCTCTTTGCTGATGACACTGTGCTTTTGGGAGATTCTGAAGAGAAGCTGCAGAGATTGGTGGATGAATTTGGTAGGGTGTGCAAAAGAAGAAAATTAAAGGTGAATACAGGAAAGAGTAAGGTTATGAGGATAACAAAAAGATTAGGTGATGAAAGATTGAATATCAGATTGGAGGGAGAGAGTATGGAGGAGGTGAACGTATTCAGATATTTGGGAGTGGACGTGTCAGCGGATGGGTCTATGAAAGATGAGGTGAATCATAGAAGTGATGAGGGAAAAAGAGTGAGTGGTGCACTTAGGAGTCTGTGGAGACAAAGAACTTTGTCCTTGGAGGCAAAGAGGGGAATGTATGAGAGTATAGTTTTACCAACGCTCTTATATGGGTGTGAAGCGTGGGTGATGAATGTTGCAGCGAGGAGAAGGCTGGAGGCAGTGGAGATGTCATGTCTGAGGGCAATGCGTGGTGTGAATATAATGCAGAGAATTCGTAGTTTGGAAGTTAGGAGGAGGTGCGGGATTACCAAAACTGTTGTCCAGAGGGCTGAGGAAGGGTTGTTGAGGTGGTTCGGACATGTAGAGAGAATGGAGCGAAACAGAATGACTTCAAGAGTGTATCAGTCTGTAGTGGAAGGAAGGCGAGGTAGGGTCGGCCTAGGAAGGGTTGGAGGGAGGGGGTAAAGGAGGTTTTGTGTGCGAGGGGCTTGGACTTCCAGCAGGCATGCGTGAGCGTGTTTGATAGGAGTGAATGGAGACAAATGGTTTTTAATACTTGACGTGCTGTTGGAGTGTGAGCAAAGTAACATTTAGGAAGGGATTCAGGGAAACCGGCAGGCCGGACTTGAGTCC